TACTGAGAAATTCTGAAATTCACGTAAACATTCAAAGATTGTTTTGCTGATAATAATTTGTATTGAAAAACTTTGTATTCAATTATAAAGTAATGCAAAACAAAAGCATTCTAACCAGTGCCTTCAGACTTTTGGACCCCACTGTATGTTTAGGCCAAAAAGTTATCACAAAAGTACCGGTAAACTATGTCTCACTCATCAGGCAGCATTTACATGCTTGTCTATTAAAAAGTTCTAGTAGCTGGGACAATGTTCGATCTTGGTTGTTGCCGTGCCAACGGCAGAGACAACAGTGATTGGTTGAGTGAGTTCCTGTCGCTTGCAAAATAAACATAAAGCCAGAGAACTTGTAGAGAGAAGAATTTCCACTCTGTAATGTCTTCTGGGTTTCTCAAACGCTAGAGGGCGCTCCAGAGCGAGTCTAAAATGAATGGGTTAAGTTGGATCATTTGAGCAAAATCATAGTTTATAAATACTCAGACATTTTAAATATAAAATAATACATTCATTTCCTGAACACAGAACAGCATAAAACATTTTAACACTGCTGTTATATTTTTAAGAGTTTTTAAACTCGAGTTATAGGAGTTTAAAACGGCGCCTCATGTACATTCATGACGTCAGTGAGCGCAAATAGCCAATGAGCTGTTCTGCTCGCCAACCAATCAGCACTCAGTTCCCGTAATATTAGCGTCCTGCTGCCCAAAACCCATTAGCCATAGAAAAAAGGAAACATACAGGTCAGTTTTCTTTGCTTTTTTACTGAAATACATTCTTCTGCTTTCTAAAATTAAAGGAAGGTTCAGGGCGAGTGATTAGAAACTATTGTAACTTTTCATTTTTAGCTGTTTAGCTCAATTTACCCCCATTCTTTGAGGACTCGCTCGCAGGCGCCCTCTAGCGTTTTGCAGTCCTGTTTTTGATACAACGGGTGAAATAGGAAGAGGCCAGTCTCCTCATAAACCGGCTCTGATAAAGCTACTATTTGGTTGCTTTATAAATTTCTAAAGCACTTTAAGCTGTTCCAGCTGTAAAGTGCTATATGAGTAAAGTATTATTGTTCATAATAATAATAATAATAATAATAGAGACAAGGAATTAGCCATTATAAACATTCTGTATTCGAGAGCTCACATATGTGAATGAGCACCCACAACCAGAGCGGCCCACACGCGCACAAGAAGACAGGAAATGCATTTGTTGAAACTTACATAAGCTTTTATATTTTGACAGCCACCATCCATAGAAGTAGTGCAATACTTTAGACTTTTCTATGAAGGTAGTGATTAGAAAAATGTCACTCTGGCAGTTAAATGAAATGAGAGGAGATGATCTGATTGGATATCACTGTTGCATATTTAACCACACCTGTATTAATGTGTTCGTTGTAATCCAGCACCTTTTACAGCTCAGCCTTGAGTCACGTTAGCGCCTGCGCCACTCGGCTTGTAAAAATCAAAAGGCAGCACTGTGATTTCGTGCCTTATTTTTGATCACAAAAAGAAGGCCCTGAGCATCCCTCAAGGGTTCTTAAGGGGAAACTTTAGCCTTAAGATGTTTTACGTAACAGGCCTCATTGTGTTGATTCACAGCCATGTTTCACAGCTCCAGTCCTGCACTGCACTCCAGGGCAAGTGTGGATAATCTCGCCATACAGAAGGACATTTGTCTAGTAAAGTAGTAGCTGCTTATATTATATCCACATGATTTACCTGATGAAATAGTCCAAAATACATTTTTAAGTTTTGTTATTTTTGGTTACTGAATGGTATGATATGCATAATATTTAACAATATACAGAAGAGGTTGTTCTAGCCTTACAGCAATGGTTTAATAATCAATGAAATCAGAAAGTATGTGAGGACTTGGGTTGGGTGAAAAGGGAATTCCACCACTTATTAAAAATTTCAGCATAATTCAATGGTTGAGGAGATATAAAGAGTTTGGTGTGAAATGGTTCAGATTTCTTTACAGTGGTGGTGATAGGAACCAGGGGTCACCATGACTACAACATGAATATAGACATTTTATTTACTATCCAAAACCACCAGTGAACCTACATGCGACTTCTGAGTTTCTGTACATTATGTTGATGATTTGAGTAGCAATCTTTTTGTTATAGGGGGGGATTTTAGCCTAATAACGCCCTCCATGTGTCTCTCTATTGTGATTTTATTTTTGAAAATAAGTTTAGGCCAAAACCTTATTGCAAAAGTACCATTAAACGGCGTCTCAGACAGCAGGCAATGTATTAATAAATAATTCACAGAATACCTTTCTGTGAGGGAGCTTTTAGAGGTGGATGTCTGGTTCCTGTCACCACCACTGTAAACGATTCTAACACTAAGATTCTCGAGAATAGAGCATTTCACACTAAACCACCCTGAATGACTGTGTTTCACATCTAAATGGTCTAATAACAGAGACAATTTGATAGTCAGTTCACCATTCAGTGATGTGAATATCCATCCCTGTGTGCTTCTGAGGACTGACACCATACCTGCCATTATGAAAGGACATACATCTACATTGAAAAGTCTTTATATAATGACTCTATTATGATGCTACTGCTCTACAGCTTTGTAGGTTTCAACTAATTAGCATGAATCAATAAATAATGAAGAAATGTTAGATATGTCCAGAATGATGAACAGAGCTGTGCAGGATTCGAAAATGACTGACTGAGAAAGCTGTAAAGCCCATTTTAACCCGAGATATACTACAGTCCCCAGCATGCACTGCAACATAGTGTGCATTCTGACCCCCTTGTTCCAACAACAATCTGTGGGCCAGCGGTTACACAAAAAGAAAAGATGCCTGGTGTCTAGTTTAAGCAAATAAGCGGTTAAAGAAAACTACTAAAATCAAATTATTTTTATTTAGAATTATTTTTTAATACATATTCAGTGCTGCCCTGCGATGGACTGGCAACCTGTCCAGGGTGTATCCTGCCTTCCACCAATGACAGCTGGGATAGGCTCCAGCACCCCACCGCGACCCAGAAGGATAAGCGGTTTAGATGATGTATGTATGTATGTATGTATGTATGTATGTATGTATGTATGTATGTATTCAGTGCCTATTTTGCTGTTGCAGTTTTGGCGTATTTTGAATAAACAGTGTCCTGTTGGGGTCAAGGCAAAATGTCAAGTAAAAATGAAATAAAAAGGCTTACAGAATCACACTGTTTTACTCTAGCCAGCATGGACACGCATGTCGTCACTGTCAAAAGAAAAACCTATATATTCAAAATGATAACTTTACAGGAGAGTTCAAAAATGATCTTCAATTTTAATGTAACTTGATGTAAAGAGATTTTTTTCCCAATAGTTTTGGAGCATTTCTACTGATCCATTCATCATCACATTTTCACACAATGTAAGGAACAGCTTCTGTGCTCAAATGATGTAACTCCTCGGGCGGAGTTACATCATATTTAATTGGCCTAAACGGGCCATTGACATTTTCAGAATGGAAAAACTCTCCCCACAAATACTGAGTAAAACATCTCAAAGTACCTTCTGGTGTCTAGCTTATAGTATTTCAATGTACACCCTAATTTTTTATGGCATAACAGTAATTATTAATGACAAGCTTTCTATCATTAGTGTATTTTTAAGCAGATGGCTAATTGGCCACATTATAAAGAAAAGTAGCTCAGTTCTTTTTCTATTATTATACACAGATCAGCCACTTCATTAAGTCCACCTCCTTGTTTCTACACTTTGTCCATTTTATCAGCTCCACTGACCGTATAGAAGCACTTTGTAGTTCTACAGTTACAGACTGTAGTCCATCTGTTTCTCTGCGTACTTTGTTACTGTGTTCAATGGTCAGGACCCCCACAGAGCAGGGACTATGTGGGTGGTGGATCATTCTCAGCACTGTAGTAACACTGTCATGGTGGTGGAGTGTTAGTGTGTGTTGCGCTGGTACGAGTGGATCAGACACAGCAGTGCTGCTGGAATTCTTAAACACTGTGTCCACTCACTGTCCACTCTATTAGACACTCCTACCTTGTCAGTCCACTTTGTAGATCAGAGACGATAGCTCATCGGCTGCTGCACAGTTTGTGTTGGTCAACCTCTAGTCCTTCATGAGTGGTCACAGGACGCTGTTGGCTGGATATTTTTGGTTCCTATATGATCAGTGGAGCTGATAAAATTGACAATGAGTGTAGAAACGAGGAGGTATACTTAATGAAGTGGCTGGACAGTGTAAATGTCCTGTCATTGATCGCTTTATGTTTGTTAGACTACTGGACCACAAAAATGACTCAGAATGGCCGTCAGTGATGGTAGCTCTCTTGGTCAGTGACTCTAGTCTGCTCTTCCACTGTATTGTGATTGTGCTGAAGCCTGTGCCCAGTAGTAGGTTTAGGGTCACAGAACCTTTAATCAATGCTAAAAAGGTGGACAACCTTGCAGTGATTCGGCAGTGAATGTGGTCTTTTGATGGAGGAGATTCAGTGGCACTCTTTTTCCAGCTGTGCTGACCATGGTGTCCATGTGAGCAGAACTAGCATAATTTTTATGTCCCTGTTTATTTCAGAGAAATGTCGACCAATCAAAAGTGTCTCCTACGTAAAGAGTACAGACATTAATCATGACGTCTATCTGAATGTAGGCTTAGCATCAGTTCAGAATGTATTCACTAAGCTTTAATCTGTTTCTGACCATCGTTCCTGAAGACGCTCCTGATACACAAACACTATTTCTTGCGTAGCTCCTGAGATATAACCCTGTAACCTTATATATTTTGTGCCAAAGTCTTTGGCCATCTGAGAAAATGACACACAAATCCATCATGAATTTATTTGTTTTAAAAAATAATAATAACATTAAAATAGATAGAATAAACTGCCTGGACAAGCAGACCATGCTACACCAATAAAATGATCTGGGTAAGGCTTCTTATGCTACTTTTGCCAGTGTCTGTAACATGATTAGGTAGTAAGTCACTGTGATGAGGTCAGATAGCCCTGATACATGACTGTTTTCATGCACCTCGCCTTAAAGAGACTGTTAAATACTACAATAGTAACATGCATTAGAAGAATGGACATTGTGAAGACCAAATGTTGCTCACCTAGGCCGCTGAAGGAGTGGGAGCCCAGGTGAGCCCATTCTTTTCTGGATCCGGAAGGGCCCATTGTGATCCAGAGGAGGGGGGAACCTTTAAGAGAAACGTGTGTAAAGATAAAAGCATGCTGACTTAGATGTACAATCGAATGGTACCATGGCATCTGTGTGTACTCTTATATATGTAAGAAGGATGAATGTGAACGTGATGGTGATGTTGTATTATTATGATAATACCTTTGACTCTATGCTCTTGTCATCCAGAGTATAGACATGGGTTGGCCTAGATCCTTGGTGGGAGGGGCCAATTATTTATAAAGGGATAGAAGATCATGTCAGGAGTTTTTTTTTTTTCTTTTCTCTGATGGAGAGAGTTCTGTGTGGCTTCACAGCCCCAGACTTGGAGATTTTGGATGTGTTCCTTTGTCCAAGAGCACAGAATAACCATCTAAAGCTGACCTTGTATCAAAGATCTTGTATCTTCAACTGTTTAAGTTCTTTTAATGATTGTTTTTTGTCTTCGGGAGTGTAAATATTTGTGTGTAGCTTAACTGAGCGCTTTTGGGGATATGAAGATGGACATGTTGTGGTACTGCTCCTGGGGCCTCTGATACACTCGACCCCTTAACTGCCTATGAGTGTTTCTGCTTTTGCAAGTGGTAACACCGTAACAGTCACTCTGGATAAGAGTGTGTTCCGAATGCATACATGTAAATATTATGTGTGTGTGTGCTTTAGCTGTATTTCAAATATCCTTAACCATTTTCCAATAGTAAGCAAATATCGTATCTGCATTTAATAGTGTATATATCAGTGCTGAGGCTAGCAGACAGGTTTTCTTTGGATGTGCTCCGTTCACCTGTGCCAACTCGTCACTTTTTATGTAGCGGCGAGAGCAGAGAAACCTGTTTAAGCCCTACCTGCAGTCACTATAGTGGCCATTCCGCAATTAACTGAGATATTCTTGAATTAATTAATGTAATCAGATATTTCCCCCATAATCTGTTATCAGATGGACTGGGACAGTGTTGTCTCTCTGTGTGTGAAATGTTGTGACTGTGTTGAGCTGCTAGTGAGCAATAAGGGGTGAAAGGGGATGGGGGAAAAACTCCCTGCTGTGAAAAATAATTCACACCTTCCCACAAAGACAGCCATGCCGACATAAAACAGACAACTGGAGCTTTCTTTATATCAAACAATCCTGTACAGCCCTTACAAAAACAAAGCATGTTTAAAGTTTATTTTATTAAGTAAATGTAAGTAAAGTTCAAGTATATTTCCCAAGTATGTTATGTAGTAAGTATATTAATATCACTATGCTAGTAGTATACTTATGGGTGTACTCTTCAGACTAAATTGGCCCACTTTTTAGTTTATAAAAGTATACTTTAGGTGTAAGAGTTGTAAACTTTTAGAATTGAAACTTTGTACTACAACTATACTGTGAACTATACTATAAGTGAACTTATATGTACTAGTTATAAACTTTTAGTCCACTTTTTAGTTTATGAAAATATACTTTAACGTATACTGCAAGTAAACTTATATATATTTACTGTTACTTTACTACCTATGTAGTACTAGCCCACTTTTTAGTTTAGAAAATTCACTTAAGTATATTTTACGTGTAAGATTTGTAAACTTTGAGTATACAACTACTTTACATCTGTTTTATTTTGTACTGCAACTACACTATAAAGTACGCTATAAGTGAACTTATAAGTATACTTTTAGTTTACTAATTATATACTTATATCCCACTTTTTAGTTTATGAAAGTACACTTTATAAAGCATAACTACAATTACAGGCCACAAGTATAAGTATAGACAAGTATATGTATATATACATATATATGTAAGTACACACACAGACCACGTTTTCTAAGAAAACACCCTGGACAGGTTATGTAAGTACAATTATAGCAAAATTAGCTTAAACTTTCCTGTATGTATGCTTCTATATGCTTGTCAGTATAACAAGTATACTTAAGTATAAGTTTATTTAGTATATCTAAAAAATACATAAAAAGACAACTAAAAGCATACTTCATTTTATTAAGCTTAAAAGAAGTATACTAATAGCACACTTGAATAAACTTTTTAAGGGAACTGATATGATGTAACATTATTTAAGAAAAATGTGTCGCTTCAAAACTGGATGAAATGGTGTTATATGGCTACTGTGAAAGGGGTAAACTGGAGTGTCGGTGGCACTTATACAGACCCCTACATAAATTGTTGTGTAAACTACACAGCAATCTACAATTAAAAATATCACCAGAAACTGTTCTTGCTGTCTTGATTGAGGACGAGTGGTCACTTCAGAAAGAACATTTTACTGTACGGCCCATGTGGCATTTGTTATGATACGTTTGAAACTTCACCAACTGAGCTGGAGCTTTCGGGCAGCAAAAGCACCACTGTATCATGGCTTTTATAGGAGCAGAAGCTACAACCACATAGCACAGCCAGCAAATGTGCTGGGCGGATATAAGAGCACACCCTTTATCCCATTACGGGAGGTTTCCCAGCAGCTGCATGACGTGTTTATGTATTGCTTGCTGGGTATTGTAGTGAGAGAAAATTGACGTATGAAAACACAAAAAGGATACTAAACTGAATTCTTTCACACTGATGAGGCTGAGGAATACAATACTGCGCTACAGAGTACTGCATAACATTTTTAATAAACTAGTTTTTAATAAAATACTAGTTCAAGGCCAGAATGGCCCTATTAAATAACAATGTAACCTCTGAAGTGATTCGCTTTAATGCTTAGCGTATTTGTGTCAGTTTGCTCTCACTGGTAACTCCTTTTTTCCCATTTTTCTCACCAGCTTATGCTCAAAATACACTTTTCCACGGTCCGAGCTGGAGAGCAGAACCCTCTGACCTGATTCTACCCATCCACTCCCCAAATCAGGAAGCTGTTCTAACATGCGAGGCGTCTGGTGTCCCCTCTCCGCAGTACAGGTAAGAGTCAGCCATACTACTCAAGACCATTTGTGACCGTTCAGTGCTTCTGTGGTGCAGTTGAGCGGTTTGGTTTTGGCAGTGCTTCCCTCAGGGGGATCAAATGGGAGACTAATAGTGCTGATTGCTATTGATTTTCCGGGGCAGTGGTGATTTGTTTGTCCCATCAGTTTAGTGCTGTAGAAATACGGTAACCTACTGTATTTCCAAGTGCTTCTTCTGCGCCGCATCTACCATGACCCAGTTTCTGTGAGCTTCTACCGGCGCTGCGCTGAATGCCAAGATCAACATTTTCTTTTCCTATAGTACATCGACCTCATACGCTAAACGGCTTAATCTGAATATTATAAAAGTGGCAAGTTCAATACAGCAGCCATGCTACAGCTATAGACTCATTATTTTCCTGGTGTGTGCAGATCTCAGCGTGAGCTTTGGGTATTAGCAGGCTTGATGTATTAGCTTTACCCGGAGAGTAATGTACACTTTCATCGCAGTGGGAAAGAAAAAATGGCTTTGAATATAGGAAGGATCTAAATGACTTATTTGTGCTCAAGATTCCCAGATACTGCCCTGCTTGGTCCCCGGAGGGACGTCTGGCCTGAAAATAGCAGCCGGCAGTGCCTCTGTGGTAGATTGTGTTTCGGAGCTTGGGTCAGCATCATGCAAATCCTCATGTGAGTGCTCGGTGGAAAGGGGGTTGGGGGTTGCGAGGCTGGTGGGGAAGGTGGGGGGAGTGCGACAACCTTGCGAGTGACATTCCATTAAATGCATGCATTTTGCTTTCTTCAGTGGAGAACACAGGCCTGGCTCAACCGTGGGGTGCACGATTATACTCGCTGTGCAAGATGAGGGGGTTTAGGAGAGGAGCTAAACCATTACACTAACAGGCACTGAGCGAAACAAAGGAAAACAAGTGCAAGGCTCAGCGCTGCTCTTCAAACAGACGAAATGACTTGGATTTTGCACTCTAATTAAAACGCTCAGCTCTTGGTTTATTTATGAAGACTTTGGTAAACACAGAGATGGAATAGGATACTGCCGCTTGTGTGCGTTCAATACACACAACAGCCTATTGCAGACACAGAAACAGACCTGGCTACTGTGCACTACACCTGTTTAATGCTCTTCATTGTGATCACAAAAAAACTCATTTTACAGGAGAAGAAAAAGACATTCTTAACTTTATCATTCTTCATATCATTTTTACATGACCATTTTGCAACCTCTCTTTATCCGTTAGAATTAAATAGGCTTTTTATACATCACTGCTGTTTGAACAAAACCTTGTATTTTTCAGTTTTTGACATAATTACAAAATGCATGTTGCTCTTTACACTGTGTGTAAATTTTGTGATGAATGGACCAAAAGAAACGGCCCAAAATGACTTGGGAAAAACTCTGGTTCTATTGACTTACATTTAAAGTAAAGTATGTTGTTTGCTTCTCCTGTAAAGTTATTTTGGACGTTTTGTTCTGACAGCAGCGATATGTAAATATGTGTGATATATGTAAATGAGCTTTGTTCTGATTGGCCACTCTGCATTGTGCCTCATACAGAAAGCAGTCTGAGCCGAAACATTGCTTACAACTTTAGCATCAGTGGGCGAATTTTGACTGCTGTAGGTTGAATGGGTGGATATATGTAAAAGCAGTTTTTATGACATCACAAAACCAAAAAATTTTAAACAGGCTGCTATTGTAGCTTAGCTTCCACGTATGGACAGTATGGACTGAGTATATTTTGAAATGTAATCAGTGTTTACATGCTACATGGAACTCTTATTTCTAAAAAGTGAGGGAAATTTGGTTTTCACCATTTTAAGGATGCTAAGTAGCTCTTGGCTTGGACGCACGGTTCTAAGGAAATACCCTTAATGAGTATAGAACCTTTACTTTATGTTGCATTCTTTATTATGAAGATCCTTTTTTAAAGTTTAATCACCTATAAAAATTACTAGAAGTTTAGCGACACATATTTTATTACATATTTTCATGATATTTTGAGCAACATATGAATTAAGCAAGTAATGACTGTATCCATGTTTTCGCACAATGAGATTGAGTGGCGCATGATTGCGTGATTGACGATGAGCAAGGTTTGGTCTGGTCTGGTTCAACAAACAGCTGAACCAGTCCAGTAAAACCTGCAGGTCTCGGGCTGCTTCCAAACGAACTCTGTTCAGTTCACTGCTGGTGGAAATGGGTTTCATGATGAAACAAGGGAATTCATCAATAGAGCTTGCCTTTCTCCTCTTTTATCAGCTTGTCGGTGCTGTACCGTCAGCATAATCTGCCTGTTTAACGTCCGACTCTTTACAGACTCTCATTTGCTCCTATATCATTCCTGCAGCATGAGCTGCTGTTAAAAATGACAGACAAGCCATAAAATAATAGCGAAGTTCCACGTTTGATTTCCGCCGATGGATCACAGAGCGTATTTTTGGCCGAGCATCACCGACCTGAGTGGTTAAACTCAAAAAGATAAACCAATCACAAAGAAGCAGATATAAATGAGGGTTTATTACTATTGTTGATTGTGACAACTCTAATCCAGAAGCCTAGCGAGTGAGTGAGGTTTGGCTTTTTAGAATAAATCATAAAAAACCCTCAAAACTAAGGAGAGAGCTCAAGAGCAAACACTCTTGTGGGAAAGCCAGTGGAGTATTTTCAGTGACAGTGCGCTCCAAATCACAGTCCACATTTACCTTATTTCTATTCTTTTTTTTCTTTTTTTCTCCCTTTTTTAACATCATCGCTACCACATGTTTTTAACATGATATGTTTTAACATAAATGCAAATTTTGGTTTCTGTCATTGAACCGAAATGGATGATCTGATCTTTTTCAGGCCCTGATTCTCAGGTTTTTAGTGTCGGCACCCAAGAACAGAAAAAGAAAATTGTATTTAAAAAAGTTTATTTTAATTTTCTCGTGGGCCGCTATGCTTTGTAGTTATAAACGAGTGGGCCGTGGAGTGGAAAAGGTTGAGAAACCCTGTTCTAGAGTGAGGTATTGATTTGTGGTCGTTGCTTGCAAACTGTAATGTTCAAACAATGCAGTGATATTAGCTAAAATAATAAATAGAATGCCTATTCTTTGCAAGGCAGGTTGTCACATATTTGCATCACAGTGTCATGATCTAAAAACTAGATATAGTACCGATACAGAAAGCAGGAAACGTAGGATCGGATGTCACAGAAAAAAAGAATAAATCTCATCCGTCTAGCTTAGAGGTCGGCAACCCAAACGTTAAGAAGAGCCGTTTTGTCCTTTCAACAAAAACCAAACCACCTTGAGAGCCACAACATTTTATGTCCATTTTACCATCTTGGCTGTAAATATGTCTCAGCATGTGCTGATGTACTAGTATAGGCTAAAAATATAATATCAACGAAAAACGAAGACTTACTTTGCTCTGCTTTAAGCTTTAGCTCAGTTATAGCCGCTTTTCTCGCATCTCTGGCAGGAAACCTTTCCGCAAAAGTAGAACAGTTTCTTGTAAAATGTCTCTCAGCGTTAAATTTTTACGAGGCTGAAGTCGCTTCTCATTCGCCAGCTTCTTGTTCGAATTTTCCCGTTCCACCTTAAATGGTGCCTGAGGACGGCAGAATGTAACTGCTACACCATTTAAGGTGGAATGGGAAAATTCTAACAAGAATCTGGTGAGCAAGAAAATTACAGCTTCACAACTTTTTGGTGTTTGACAGTTTCTCATTGCAGATTAAATGTATCAGGAAACCAGCTGGAGTGATTATAATCACAAATAAGTAGTTTGTCTCCAAATTATCGATCTTCATCTTTCTCTTTGCCATTTCTTTAGCTCCTAGCTAGGCAAGATTGTCTGCGCACCAATCTTCAGGGGTTAAAGGGTGAATTAGCAGTTCTCCAGCGTTTAAGACCATTTATTGTTAAACTGTGTTGAACGATCAGCAGAGCTTTATTTTACTGTAAAGGAGGATTATTTTATTTTTACCTACAAATCTAATTCTGCTGTGGAGCCACAACAGGGACAGTAAAAGAGCCGCATGCTGCTGACCCCTGATCTAGCTGATGTGGCCTGAAATCTCACAGAATTGCTTGCGGTGCCGCAAAACCTTAAGTAAAGTAAAAGTAGGTCACATGATAACATCAGTAACTACATGATAACAGTACACAATGTTCTTTAGTAAAGTCAGTGATTATATATAGAACCGTGCAAACTCAAAGAACCATATGGATGCTTAAATGATTCTTCGACAGGTTAAATGGTTCTTCTCTATGATGAAGAGCATCTTGTAGATGGTTCTTTTGAAGAAAAAAAAATATTTTTTTTAATTTATCTGTAAAGCTTACAAGTTTTTAAAGAAAAAATGATTAGATTGGTATTGGTCAGTGCTGAAGATTTCAGTACCAGAAAAGAAAAAGTGGTAGGTTGTGCCATCTCTAATAAAAACAGTTCTCTTAAAGAACCACCCACTAAAAGGTTATTTAGGAAACCGAAAGTGGTTTTTCCATGGCATCATTCCAAGGAACACTTCCTGGCCCCTTTATTTATTTTTAATAGTGCATGTACGGGGCAGCTGGCAGCTTCACAAGTTAGTTACATGGTTTTGATATGAAAGCGACAGCTTGCATCGCACTTGCATGTATCCTGTCAGTTTTCACTGGTCTGGTACATGTAACGCATTTACGACGTTGGCTTTTCTTTGTTGTGAAAGTACAAATTGCAGTGTCAACACTGATAGCTCTCTGCAGCTGCTGAATCCGTTCAAGTTAGGATTGATTTGAACGTTAAAAGAAAGATAAAAGGAGGAGCAAATCAGGGGAAATGTGTCATGGCATGGCTTACTTTGAAGTCAGCAAATATTTGAAAGGATCCACCTTTTTTTGAAGATCCTTAATCTTTTTGATTTGACTGAAAAGCCTCACACCTACAGTACCGTCCCAGCTATGACTTTGACACGACGTTCAGACGCTCAAACATAAAATCTGCACTTCTTAAACAATTATTACGGTGGTGTC